AATGACCTCCCGGCACCTAATCAGTTCCAGAAAAGGACTTTGTTCTCTGGGAGGCAAGGTGGGAGATCAAAGCATTTCTTGCTAATCATCATTTAACATTAATTACTTGTTAAGTAACCTGACCCAGACCCAATACCGCTCCCTACCTCGCATCCTGACAGCCTCAACGAGCACCCTTGATCTTTCAACCCAACCTGCATCAAATTGGGAGCAAGCCGACTGCAAACCTGGGAACAGAGAGACCCCCGGCGGCCCAGGCAGTCAGTCCTTCACTTACTTCTCCTTTTCCTGTTAACTTTTTAACCCCACCAGCCAGGAAATGCAGACATAGAGTGGCGCACCCTCCCTCCCCCTTCCCTCTGCCACATTTCACTGAGTTCCTCAGATCTGGGGACTAATACCTCCTGATTCACAAGCTGTGTGACCCAAGGCGTCCCTCTCTGAGTCCCCAGTCTCAGCTGCACCCATGGAGGTAACACTCTCCACACCTCCCAGCCTCACTGTGAGGATCAAATACGATATAAAAAAGACATCTAAAGATGGGGGCATACATCTGGCGATAATTTATTTCCAGGGCTGCGTGGGTGGCCAGGGTATTCATTATTATATTATTGACATCTTTTCGTGGCTCTGAAATAATGTAGGATAAATGCTGTGCATTGAATGGTGTTCCCCAGAGACCCCCCCCACCCCCCGACCCACCGGACCACTACCAAATTCTTATGTGGAAGCCCTAACCCCCAAGACCTCAGAATGTGAGCACCTGGAGATAGTCTTTCAAGACGTAACGAAGTTAAACTTAGGGTGGGTCCTAATGCAGTATGACCGGTGGCTTCTAAGAGATTAGGGCACAAACACACAAGAGGTCAGACCATGTGATGATACAGAGAGACAAACGGCTATCGACAAGCCCAGGAGACATATATCCTGCCAACGGACATCTTGTTCTCAGCCTTCCGGCCTCCAGACCTGTGAGAAAATGAACTTCTGTCCTTTGAGCCACGCACACAGTGTGTGGTACTTTGTTACGGCAGCTCTTGCAAACTCCTACGAGAAACTTCAAATGAGTTCGAGAAAACATAAAGTAAATGAAAAGGAAAAAGACGGGGCTAGTATGGCTCTAATCAAAAAGACGGATAATATGCGTTGGCGAAGCTGTGGGTAAATTGAAAGTCGCACACGTTGCTGGCGGGAACGAAAAAGGCTGCAGCCGCTCTGGAAAACGGTCTGACGGTTCCTCAAAAAGTTACACACAGTGTTACCGTGGGACCAGTCAATTCCACTCCTCGGCGCCTGCCCAGGAGACATGAAAACATGTGTCCATGTAAAAACGTGTGCACGCATGTTCACAACATCTTTATTCACGACAGCCAAGAGGTAGGAAACAGCCCAAATGCCCCTCAACTGGCGAATGGCTAAACAAAGTGCAGTACAGACACACAGTGGAATATTATGCAGCCATGAAAAGGAATGAAGTCCTGACAGCTGCGACAATGTGGATGAAGCTTAAAAATACCATACCAAGTGAAAGAAGCCAGTCACAAAAGCTCAAGTATTGGATAATTCCATTTACATGAAATGTCCAGAGCAAGCAAATCCATAGAGAGAGAGAGAGATTAATGGTTGCCAGGGGCTGGGGGAAGGGAAGATTTAGGGATTGGGGGTGGGGGGGATTGACAGCTGATGGGATTTCTTTCAGAGGGTATGAAAATGTTCTAAAATTAGATTGTGGGATAGTTGCATAACTCTTTGAATATGTTGAATATACTAACAAGTGAGTTGTACACTTTTTTTTTTTTTTGTGAGTTGTACACTTTAAGCGGGAGAACTGTACGGTAAGCACATTATATTTGTTTTATTATAAAGTGTTTAAAAAAAACCACACTGGTACCCCCAAAGTACTGTCAAATAGCAAATGTTCCTCTTCACCCTTCACCAGCCTAAGGGCTCCAGTCTCTCCCCCACCTTCCAGATTTGATGATATCAGCCACATGACCTTGTGTATAGACCAGCCCTCATACACCAATCCTCCACAAAAATCTGAGGTAAGGGCTACTCCCCCCAGGAAGGAGCCTGCTTCCCATTTCCAGCCCTTTGGAGGAAAGGGGCAGAGGCATGATATTTTTTGTTTTTTTAATGCCCATAAGCCTCTCAGGAGTAAACTGGAGGGTCTCGGGCACAGAGGACAGGACATATTAGTAGTCCTGAAGTGATTTCCCCCAGAGAAGCTCATTTGGACCCCTCCATTAATTCTGGGATTACACTGGGTAGTGGCAAGTTTGTTTTCTGAAAAGCCCATGTTCTGCAAACCCTAATCCCTCCCCCAGAGCAATTCCTCAGCTGGGAGGGAGGCAGGCAATGAGGCAAAGCCACGGTTTCCTCTTTGGGTTCAGAGCAGCCGTGGGGCCTGGCTGGGCTGCTGCAAGGTACTACCTCTGTGAGTAGTTTGTGGTCTCAGAAATGGCAGTTACATTTACTGCCCATGGAGGGGAAAGTGAACGTTAAAACGCTACCCGCTTCCATGGATCGGGAAACTAAAGGCAGGAGCTATGAAAGCGAATCCTTGTTCATTTCTCCCATCACCTAAATTCCTCCTAAGCTTCAAAGAGAATTAGAATTTACCCACAAGTAACAGGGACCCTCTTCCCTAGCAGTTCCACATTTAGGAATATACCCTAAGAAGATAATCAAACAAAGGTGGATTCAATCAAACAAAGAACATCACTGCCCAACAGAAATATAAAGTCGGCCACGCATGTACTTTTACATTTTTTTTGTAGCCACATTTAAAGAGGCAAAAAGAAAAAGGTGAAGTTAATACTAATAATCCATCTGTCTAACCAGTAGATCCAAAATATTATCATTTCCACTAGAGTTGCCAGATGTGGCAAATAAAAATACAGGACACCCAGTTAAATTTAGATGAACGATGAATTATCTTTTCCAGCATAAGTATATCCCATGTGATATGTGGGCTATACTTAAAGTTTTACTTGTTGTTTACCTGAAAATTCACATTTAAATGGACATCCTTTTTAAAATCTGGCAACCCTAATTTCAACATGCAATCAATATAAAAAATAAATTAATGAGTAATTTTACAGTGTTCCTCTTTGCACTGTCTTTGAAATCTGTTGTGTATTTTATACTTCTAGCACAGCTCAATTTGGGCTCGCCGTATTTCAAGTGCTCAATAGCCATAGAGCTAGCAGCTACCATTCTGGACAGCACAGAGCTAGACTGTTCCTCTAAATGTCTCTTATAGGGGCACCTGGGTGGCTCAGCCATTAAGCGTCTGCCTTCAGCTCAGGTCATGATCCCGTGGTCCTGGGATCGAGCCCCACATCAGGCTCCCTGCTCAGCGGGAAGCCTGCTTCTCCTTCTCCCACTCCCCCTGCTTGTGTTCCCTCTCTCACTGTGTCTCTCTCTGTCAAATAAATAAACAAAATCTTTAAAAAAATAAAAATAAATAAATGTCTCTTATAACAACAACAAAAACAAAAAAAAAAAAACAGAAAAAAATACCCATCAATGAAGAGGCTGCTTAAGTCACAGCTAATGTTTAAAGAGCACTAACTACTGGTCAGTCCTTGTCCTAAGAACTTTGCATGCATTGCTCTATTTTTTTTTTTTTCTTTTTAGTTAACCAGAAACAAATTCAACAATGCATTATCTCATCTAGTCGTCCCAACATCCAATCGAAGTAGGTGCTGATATAGCCCCTTTATACAGACGAGGAAAGCAAGGTTCAGAGAGTTTCTAGAACTTGCTCAAGAAAGTGGTGAGGCTGAGTGTGGACAGACAGGTTGATACATACATGTCCCACCCTAGCATGGACTTTGGAAGAAGACTCACCAAAACATCACTGGTTTTCTCTGGACTTTGAGGTGGACACTGGTTAACAGTTTGGTCTCTGCTGTCACACAGACTGATCATCCCACCCTCGGCTCTGCCAAGTGCCCTCACAAGTGTCTTGACCTTTGTAAGCCTCAGTTTCCTCATCTGTAAAATGAGAGTCCCGAGTATCTGCCCCACAGGGTTGTTGGAGTCTAAAGAAGATAAGGGATGTGGACAATGAGGCAAAGCAACATGCTCCTGGTAAGTCCTCAGCGGACGTTACTATCATTCTCCCTAGGGTCTTTGTCCTTTCCTATTTCCTATTTGATTAGACTTTTCCAAGGTGAGCATCAATCAGTTAAAAAAAAAAGAGAGAGAAAAGTTACTTTTTTTTTTTTTTTAAAGATTTTATTTATTTCACAGTGAGAGAGGGAACACAAGCAGGGGGAGTGGGAGAGGGAGAAGCAGGTTTCCCACGGAGCAGGGAGCCCGACGCAGGGCTCGATCCCAGGACCCTGGGATCATGACCTGAGCCGAAGGCAGACGCTTAACGACTGAGCCACCCAGGCGCCCCGAAAAGTTACTTTCAAAAGAGAGAAAACCAGGATGCCTGGGTGGCTCAGTCGTTGGGTGTCTGCCTTCAGCTCAGGTCGTGGTCCCAGGGTCCTGGGATCGAGCCCCACATCGGGCTCCCTGCTTGGCGGGGAGTCTGCTTCTCCCTCTCCCTCTGCCCCTCTCCCCTGCTCATGCTCTCTATCACATGCTCTCTAATAAATGAATAAAATCTTTAAAAAAAGAGAAAAAAGAGAGAGAAAACAGCCCTTGAAGCATCTGGAGGAAAAAGAGAAGGAAAGAAGAAAAGAAAGGAGAGAAGGAAGAAGGGAATGAAGTCACCTAAGGATAGGGAAAGGTGAGGCATCACTCCCCCCACAGTTTTCTGAGTGACCACCAGGGGGCACTGCCTGCAGTTTCCACAGCTAGGGAAAATGATCCCTTTCAAAAAAAAAACAAAAACTTGCAATAGACAAATCACCAAAATCATTCCTCTTAACTGGGGTGCCCTCTGCCAGGAGTCCCCACTGAAAAGCTGCCAACATTCATCTTACAGGAGATGTGAAAGGCAGTGGGAATGGTCTCCCAGCTGCAGGCGATCCGCGTCTTACCTTTGGAGTCTTCTTTGGCCAAGTGACTACAGGGACCCCAGTGATGGCCAGACTGGGGTCATCATCCGCATGCTCCTTCAGGACATTCTGTGGCCAAACAAAGGAGCCATATTAGCCCAGAGTAGAGGGGAGGCCCCTGAAGGGGGCTAAGACTGGATCTAACCCAATAAAAGTCAGCCCTCTACTAAGTCGACCACCACCCACACACTCAGTAGAAACCAAGTCACCAGGGTTCCTTAGAGGCCACAAGACATGCAATATCCCCCTTTCCAAAAATATTTTTAAAAAGCAAATCACACACCTCCCTATGACTTCCATGAATGTATCGCTCACTGATCATATTTATGAATCCAAACATTGGTCTAGAGTGCTATGGACTCTCACGCACACAATCTCATTCAGTCCTTACCAAGTACCCCGGGAGTGGGCTGGCCAGTGCACTAAGATGCTCTAACGTACATAAACTCAACTACGTATGCAGAGAAACAAAAACAAAACCAACCACGAGGTCTTGACACCTGTGAGACCTCTTTTCTTCCATCAGCCAGCAAGCTATGTGTATTCTAATCTTGGTGTGTAAAGACATGTCATTGTTTATTACAACATGGGCCATAAACACAAGTAGATTCTTAATCTGGTTTGACCAAGGATGGAATCATCTGACCAAATGCTAGCAGAAAAGTGGGCTGTGATAGACGTACTCCCGGGCTGGGCAAGGGTCTCCCACATAGGCGCACTGTGTTCACATCTCTGTGGGTGGTCTGAAGGCTTTTCAAGGGTAATTCTGACTCTACCAGATTTTGGCCTTATGTGGAGGCTCATTTTAGAACCTCAACCCGGTGTAAGATGCTACTCCACTGAATTATCCCTGAATTAGAGGTGAGGCAATCAAGGCTCAGAAAGACTCAAGAGGACTTGGGTGCTGCCCCAGACCAGGAGGGCAGAGCCCCCGAAACCCACTCTTCAGCACCAGACTTCCCACCCCATGACCACTTCACACGTGGGTTTTTTTGGTTGCATCCACAGCATGCCATGAAAAAGCATTTAGGGACAGATCTGTCACTGGCCTATTCTGACCCTGACCGTTAATTTTTGGATTGTACAAAAACATTCCTGCAGGGACATTTAAAAACAGAGAAAGCTACATAGTAGAACTTAACAGGAAGAGCAAAAGAGCTCAAAACAGAAATATAGGTAAAGATTATTTTAACTCCCTTTCCCTAATCTATTCACCGGAAATGAATCCAACTCACTTCTAATTTGTTCTATTGTCTCAGTTTTCTCATCATCCTGTGATTGCCAGATTTTTCAAGATGTGCCTATTACGCCAAATCCACCTGTGGAACTCTATTCTGCCCATGGGAGGTGGCAAACAGGACAGTGATCAAGGGTCAAACTCGGGGCTGTCTGGCTTCAATTCTCAGCCCATACAGCTCTGTCCAAGTCCAGCATCAATGTCACTGATTTATAAATGCTGTTTATAAATATCTTGGTTCACTGCTATATCCCTCGCACAATGACTAACCTACAGTAAGCCTCCAGTAAATAACTTTAAAAAAATAAATAAAGCCACAAATCCCCAAAGAGGGACTTTCTACAAAATCCCTGACTAGTACTCCTCAAATCTGTCAAGGTCAACAAAACCAAAAAAAAAAAAAAAAAAAAGTCTGAGAAACTGTCACAGCCAAGAGGAGCCCAAGGAGACATGACAAATACATAAATAGTGCTATCCTGGGTGGGATCCTGAAATACATCTAAGACACTTGGAAAAAACTAAGGAAATGTGAATAAACTCTAGACTTTAGTTAGTAATAATGTATCATTGTTGGTTTAATTGTAACCACTGTACTCCACTAATATACCATGTTAATCCTAGGGGAAAGGGGGGCGTGTGTACGTGGAAACTGTAGTATCTGCTGAATTTTTCTGTCAATCTAACACCATTCTGAAACATAAAGTCCTATCATAAAAAGCAATTTTTTTTTAAGTAGGCTCCACGCCCAGCATGAAGCTCAATGTGGGGCTTGAACTCACAATCCCAAGATCAAGAACTGAGCTGAGATCAAGAGTCAGATGCTCAACCGACTGAGCCACCCAGGCGTCCCCTAAAATGCCAATCAGACAGCAGTAACAGCTACCATAAAGGAAAACGGGATTATTAGGCTGCCAATTTTTCTAACACATATGCAGCATATTTAACAAGAAATATAACAGAAGGGGACCAAGAATACAAGCATGATTCAGCTCCGGTGTGGACTTCACATGGGGCATGAAAGAGGCTATTGAAGGTTGGGGGCAGTGGCAATGATCCGTGCCTGGGGGAGGAGTGTTTCTTCATCACTGACATTGTTTAGAACTGCCAGTTCCCAATGATGATAAAAAGTAGACCAATTTTTTTTTTTTATCAGTTTTGGTTTTGAATTAAATGGACCCCAGACATTACACCCGTTAGTGGGTCATTCCCACTTGGTCCACCACCCAGGGTGGATAGGACTGGATAGGTGAGAGGTGAAATGGAACCATGAGGAGACAGGCACCACATATTTTGTTGAATGAATGTACAAGAGTAGGATGTATTGAGTGTTTGCTCTGGGCTGGGCATCGTAATAAATACGCCATATCCACTCTCTCATCCAACACTCTTGACCACACTGTGAGAAGGACCACCATCATTTCCAGATGACAATACCGGAGCTTAGGGGGTAAGGGAACTGTCCAAGACCACTCAGCCAGGAAGGGGTAGAGACCCTTCCACTCCACAACCTGTGCTCTAACCACGGTAATATTCAACCTATCCTTCAAGAAGACAGGGGGCCATATTCCTAGTAGCATGACTCACAGCAGCCAAAAGACACTTGGAAACAACCCAAGTGTCCATCAGTGGGTGGATGGATAAATAATATGTGGTCTAGCCACACAATAGAATATTATTCAGCCCGAAAAAGGAAGGAAATCGTGACACTGCTGTAATATGGATGAAACATGAGATGCCTAAAGTAGTCAGATTCATACAAGCATAAAACAGAGTGCTGGCTGCCAGGGAGGGAGAAGCAGGGAGTTGTTTAATGCACGGTGCTGATGGCCACACACAGTGTGAACACACCTAATGCCACTGAACGGGACACTTAAAAAAAAAGGTTAAAATGATTTTTAATTTTTTTTTTTTTTAGTGTTTTATTTTTATTTAAGTAGTCTCTACACCCAACATGTGGCTCAAACTCATGACCCTGAGATCAAGAGTCGTGTGCTCTTCCGACTGAGCCGGCCAGGTGCCCTGCCCCTACCACAATTTTTTAAAAAGGGAGGAGAGAGTGGGGCAAAGCAGTCCCTCCCTAAGGACTGGAATCAGAGGTTCTAGAAAGTACACACAGGAGACCTCACTAGTTAAGCTATTACTGTTATGCCTGTGACAACACTGGTTCTAGAGTCAGAAGACCTGGGTTCAAGTTCTACAACTTGCAGACTGTATGACCTTGAGGAAGCCACAGCTTAGAACAGTATATCTACCCTTGACTTTCCATGAAGTGAGATGTGATTTTACTACCATTCTTAGGAGCATTTGTTGAATGCTTGCTCTAGACTAATCCTCTCTGAGGAATAGGGCTGATTCTCCTCCTTTCTCCCCAGAAGCAGAAACTAAAGTTCAGAGGGGCTAAGTGACTTGCCCAAGGTCACACAGCAGGGAGATGACTGAACCTGACACTGACCACGGCCCCTCTAACTACAAGCCCAGGGAGTAACACTGGGTGATAAAGCCTCAGGAAACCATTCCAGCAACCTCTGGAGCTGACCTACACCCCATTATTAAAAAAATATAACACCTAGGAGACAATCTGGGCTCACACTCACCATCTGATTAACAAATACAGAAATGAGTCATGCTCACCTCTTCCTTGCAAGACAGAGAACTCATTCAGCCATTAACTTCTCTACAAAGCATTTTTCAAACTTTGCCCCAATCACGGAAAGAAGACACACATGTGCCCAACGTGGGCCTGCACAAGCACAAAATTTTGTTGATGTTTCATGGTTCTTAACAATCCATATGAATTTCACACCCTCTTCTACAGTACAGCAGGGTTTTCTGTTGTTGTTTTTTTTAAATAATGTTTCCCTACCCCCAAAAACAGCACTAAAAAAATATATATATATTTTATATATAAAATATAAATATATATATTTTATATATAAAATATATATATTTAAATATATATTTTTTTTTTTGAGGAAGATGCTCTGTGTTTAGGCAAAACCTTTCAATTCACATATATCTGTATCTAGATATCTTATATAAATATAGATAGATCTATCTTACCATATGATGGGAGCAGGGGAGCCCATCACTTCCATGGGACTTCCTGCCCTCTTACCCAATCTCAAACTCCAGGTTGGGGTGACAAACTCAAATGCTGCTAGGAACCGAGCAGATAAAATGCAACATATTGACAGACTAGAGCCCTAGAGAGTGGTGTGGCCTAAGGCACACTGGACGCCACGGGCCGGTTTAGAGAGGGCAAATGTTACTCAGTACCAAACCACTAACCTCTTGTGGAAATAAAAGCCCCACCTGATCTCTGATTTTTTCAGAAGAAATCAAAGATCCAGAGTTTTATTTGAAATTGCTTAAATGCTGGCAACTGATTGCAAAATTAAAAAAAACAAAACCCCAAAAACGAAAATGAAAAAACGACTGTGAGCCAACCAGTACAGAGGCCAGTCTGGGCCACAGGCCACCAGTATATAAACACTACTCTGCGTAAGATTGAAAATAATATCCACTCGCCTTGGTTTTCCTGGAGTTTCTGAACTGTCTCAAAATTTCCTGTCATTTCAATATCAAAGCTGGAGTCCGTAACTCACAAGCAAGGTGAGGTCTCTGTGGAGGAATGTCTGGTTACAAAAAGCTATTACTGAAGGTGAAGTATTATCAATAATAAACACATTAGTAATGATAAATAATAATTAAAAATTAATAGAGGGGGCACCTGGGTGGCTCCGTTGGATAAGAGTCCAACTCTTGATCTCAGTTCAGGTCATGATCTCAGGGTCATGAGTTCAAGCCTCGCTCCAAGCTGGGCGCGGAGACT